TCTAGAGCAACAATAGCATGAAAAGTACAGTGCTAAACAATAACAAGGATAGTAATACAAGAATTATTCTAGAATGGGTAACATTTCAAAGGTAAATACTAGTAAAAATTGGGCAATGTGTAGTGATGATCTTGGGCAAAAATCAAGTGTAACAATAGAATTATATAAGGTTTAAAACATTATTAAAAATAATAATAATAAGATATGTTCCATCTATTAAATTTAATATAAACTTAAGAATAAAATATAAAATTAAATAGAATTATTAAAATTGTTATTTAAAACAAGTTAACAGAAACCTTATATTTTTTTTTAATTAAATAAACAAGATTGTTAAATATAAAAAAAAGCAATAATTAAGGCTTCTAATAATATTACTTTGATATTATTTTAATATCAGTTTGATACTTAAATTTATTATAAATTTATATAAGTAGATCACAATTTATATATTAAATTTATATAGATAGTACTATTTCAATACCATTTTGATATCAGTTTAGTATTTTTCGAAGTCTTAGCAATAATTTATTGATATCAATAAAAATTTATATATTGGAAAGTTAAGCAAAAATAAAATTAGAAATGTTTTATTTAACAATATAGACATATTCAAGCTTCAATATATAAAAATAGAAAACTATAATATATAAATAATCTAAAACAATATAATATAAAAAATATTACATATGACTATATTTATTATATAGACTTAATATAGTAATTATAAAAGTATCTATTAATTTTATATAAACAAAGCAATAGATAAAACTATAGTTTCAAAAATTGGAATTAAACAGAATCGCAGGGAATCATATAAGATTCAGAACATTATTAAAAATAATAGTAATGTATATCCCATCTATTAAATTTAATATAAACTTAAGAATCAAATATAGAATCAAAGAGAATTATTAGGATCTTTAGATAAAACTCTTAATTAATTTACAAAAATAAAGTAATTTGATCTTAAACAAAAAAATCAAATTTAAAAAAAACATTTCAAATAAAGGTTGACAATTGACTTTCTTTAATAAATATAGAGCTAATAGTAATTTTATTAACAATATTAATAATATTAAATAATTAAAGCATAGAAATTAAAACAGATAATGTTAATTATATCAATATATTTACAAAACTAAGTAAATTTTATTTCAAGAAAATATTAAAAGACAAATGAAAATACCAAATTAATAACTATAATTAAGATTAATAAATATGATTTCTAAAAAAAAAATTTAATTGAAATTTATTAAAATCAAAACTTATAATAAGGATACAATAAATAATTAAGTTAATTAATTAACTAAGCAGTAAAGAAAAAATTAAAAATCAAATAGAAAATATTGTTATTAATAATTCTGATTATAATATCAAAATTGAGCAATATGTTAATTAACATCTTAATTAGAGTATTTATTAAAAATTATAACAAAAAAAAATTCTATTACAATAAATATCTTTTAACAAAATTTAATAGTAAAAAAAAAGATATGAAAAACTAGCAAAATTGCTTAGAGAGATTCCTGACTTAAAATAATAACAAAGGATTATTGATTATTTTTTCAAATACATAAGAGACAGAATATTCAAAATCAAACTTATATATAATAAAAATCAATTATAAATAATTTAGTTAAATATAATATTTAAGAACTATTAACAAATATTAAATATGTTTTTTGCTACTAGGATTTTTAACAATATATTACAATATCAAGTTAATATTGAATTTATTATGAATTTAATATAAAAAATTACAATTTATATATTAAATTTATTACAAACCAATATTATTTAATATTATTTTGATATTGGTTTAGAATTCTATCTGCTAAAAATATAAAGAAATAATAGATTATCAAATAATTTATAAAAAACTTTAAAAAGAGAAAAACAAGATATATGTAAATATTTTTATTAATAAAAAATAAAAAATAAAAAATATATTAATAAAAATATATAAAAAAATAAAATAATAAAAATCTATCTTTAGTAAAAGAAATCATTAATATAAATATAAGACCTTGAACAAAAAAAGAAATTACAAAATAGATTAATATATGTTAATCAATTAAGATTTATAAAGCATTAATTGAAAAATCTCAAATAAAATATTAAAATTTTGAAATAAAAGATTTTATTAGCAAATTTGAAATATAAAATATAAAAAAATTTATAACTACAAAAGATTTTCAATAAATGGAAAGAAGAGTCAATTTTAATTCAAAAATATTAAAAAAAATATTCAGGTCTAAAATAAATATAAATTATAAAAGAGAAAAAAACAAGTTAAAGTTTAAGAAATATTGATATAACAGAATAAGAAAAAAGAAAATATTATAAATTTTAATATTATATAAATAAAAACATTAGCAACATCAATATAGGCAAACCTATTAACTAATAGTAATTTTTTTATAAAGATTTTTATAAAAATTCTATAAAATAAAATAAAGAAGAGAAACAAATAATTAAAAATATAAAGTAATTAAGATTTTGTCAAAATAAATAAAGTAATAAATTGCAAGTAATAAATTCAATTTCTTTTAGAAATAGAAAATATAAGTAAACAATTTTATTTATCTTTAAGATTATATTTAGAAATTAATAATTAGCAATAAATATTCAAATATTAGCTTAGTTTATATATAAAAGTCTTATATTAGTATATTTTTAGTTTCAATTATTAAATAAATATAATAAATACTTGTTTAATTATAGAAAAAAAACAAGTTTGTTTTGAAGTATATTATATAATTTCAAAATATAAAAGTTGAATTAAAAAGAAAAATTTTTTTAATTATACTAAATATCTCAAATTAATAACAAAAATAAAAATTATATATTAGATTTTTATTAACTTAACTAATACTATTATATAAAATATTAATATATAAAAAGATGAAAAAACAATAAAACTAGAAAATAATTTAATATTATTGTAATAATAAAATAATAAGATATTGTATTTTATTTTACCTTAAAAATCAATCTTGTAAAAATTTTACAATATTATCTTATTGACACATGATCTATAACTTTATTAAATTTATATATCTCTTTTGAAAACAATATGTTTTTTTAATAAAATGTATAATATAATTCAAATGAAAACAATTAATTGGTTGTTTTATTACAACAATATATACAGTGGTATTAAAAATTATTTGGAGTTTATTTCCAACTCAATATAAAAATATAAATATTATAAAATTACTTTTACTTATAACTAGTTTAAAGATTATATTTTCATTATTATTTTAAATAATTATTATTAATTAAAAATTTTATGTTATATATTAATTTTATAACATGATATTCATAAAATTCATGTTTATATTTATATGCTTATATGTTTTTTTCATGATAAATAACACAAAAATAATATTACTAATTAATATAATAATATTTAATTGAAATTATTTATTAATATCAAAAGATATATATTTAATTTTTAATATCTTTAGATTAATATTTATTAAATAATAATACAATTTTTAATTTTTCAAAATTTTTTCAAAAATTATGGATACCACTGTACATTGTTCAATTGAATTTATATTTTGCTGATAGCATAACATATTTTGATTAATAATTTTTATTCATATGAAAAAGTTTTTTCTTTTACTTATTTATTTATAAAATATGCAGTATATTGTACATATATATAGTATTTATTTCTTATTATGAAGTTTAATCTTTAAGCTGCTAGGGTACTTTAAAGTCGCAATTGGATAGAGTCTAGGAGGAAGATTGTTCCATATAGAAATCTCGTAAAATTTCTTGTTAATGATAAATGTACAAGTTCTTTTGTCCATATCGACTTGAACAGTTATCTTTGACCCAGATTTGATTTTTACGTCCAAGAACTTCACTCCTCGATTGCTATTGTTATAGCAATAACCATCCAAACCCATGACCCATGCATTCGGTTGAGAGCCAGAAAAATAAGGGAAATTATATTCCTCTGTGCATACACCAATCCACGCTAATTTCGAATTTCTCCCCACTATAATATCCCACATATGAACACCATTTGTCATCAAATAGTTAGCTCTCACAGACTGAGTTGACTCTGCTTGAGTTGTAGTAATGACTTTACTTCCATCATCTAATATTTGCAAATTTGGTCCACACATCAAATCACTCCATTTCAGGTCAGGAGCAGGAGAAGAAATCACCTGATTACCCGAGAACTCTCGCTCTGGACTCATCACCAAATAACTTGGAAAACCCTTGTTTGTATTCGTTAAAGCAGTCTCTCCACGGTGTTGCACACTCGCATCATGAACAAAATTATTAGAATCGGTTGAGCTTTGTGGTGGAATTAATCTCAGTGGTAAAAGAATTTTCTTGAAAACTTTTTCATCTATGCTACTAAGATCTATATATTCACATAATGGATTGATTTTTTTAGATATGCTTACGCATATATTTGAATAACCCATGTCTTTGCTATAATCAATTGTGTAATCATCCTGAAAAATGGCATATAATGTAGGTAATCTTTTTTCAAAGAAATTCACAGCATCCGGTGCAATTTCCTTTGCCGAAGTCAAAATCGCATAACGTAAAATTGAATAATCCCCAGTAGCAAAACTTGTTCTGTCTACATTTGACAACAAGAAATGAAGAGCTTCAATAGACAATTGACCATACTCTATGTCATCCAAAGGTATTCTCGCGACATATTCCATCAATATAGTGATAATTTCATTATTCGTTAATGGCGATATCGTTCCAATAGCTTTTGAAAATAATTTGGGAAAACAGTCATTAGAAGTACTTGTTCGACAAGATTCATACACAAATGGAATAACAAGATCTTGGAGCTTATTCAAACGAAAATAATTGGCCGCGAAGTAAATTTCAAAGGAATTCTCTACTGTTAGAATTCCCTCTGAAATTGATCCAGTATACAAAAATTCAAGGATAATAATCATGATGAAAGAATCAATCTCCGATAATGTTATTCGCGAACTTGATTTCTTATCATATAACATCGAATCTAAAACACTAGAACGAGCGGCAAGAATTGCTCGACATCCATAAAGGACTTGACCATCTTTACATCGAATCTCCAAGTCGCTATATCGCTGATTATTGATTAAAAATTTCAAGTCATTAGTCAAAGAGCTTCCACGATCAATTAACGAAGCCGAAGAATTTCCTGTGGTAAATATTTATAATTATTGAGTGTTTTGAAATCCGGACCCATAAGAAAAAAACGTACAAAAGATTACTGACTCGAAATGCAACTATCACTGGCAATTACGCTAGATCTTGAGGAATTGCTTATGGTGACTGAAAAATATAATCAACGATGTTAAATTGTCACACGTTTAAAACGCTATAATCATTGTCTTTTGTTAAAAAGTCCATACATCTTCTACGGTTGGTATTAGAAGAACCACTGAAAAAATCAGTGGGTAATGACTCTAAGATAGATTTCAATCAGATGAGTTAACGGTGTGGTAGATATAATGAAAGAGAAAAACCTACGTCGACTTATATTAAAGAAACTCATTATTTGACCAAGAATAAAACTTTAGAAAGATTGAAGTCTGCCTCGCTCTCTGTGACATTTACAACAACAGTATCACAATCAATAAAATCCATAAATCAAATCCATTTTCGAACGTTCTCTGTGTTTATGTTTATGCAGCATCATCTATTTAGTGTCGTGCTACAATAACGATGGAACCAGGCATGCTAGAAAAGGTTTCACTAGTTGATAATTACGGACAACCATTGACAAAGATTTTAGTGAAAGGGCGTCACTATCTATTGTCAATGATATCATACATATTAGTGTACATTTAGCAGTAACCTATACTAGGAAAACGGGAACGTTATTCAGTTCGGAGCGCGTAATTCAAAATGTTAATTAGGGTACACATACAGTAATTATATAGTCCTTAGCTATGTTCCGGAATAACATATTTGAAAATATACTTTATTAAATGAGCATTGAATTATTGAAATTAAAAAATGGTTCTTTTTTACTCAAGTTCTGGTAAAATTTTTATCCGTGATATGATAAACAAATTGCAAAAAAAAATAAGAAATGAATGTAGACAAGAGACATAAAAATTTGGTGAGTAGTAGTTTTATTATAATTAGATTACAGTATGTTTATTTGATGCTTTGTTTTTTATTTTTACTTTTATATAGGAATTATATATACAATTATAATAACTATAATGATTACTTAGTGGCTTTTCTATGATTGCTCTTATAATACATATGACACTGGGATTTATTGTTATTCACGATATAGAAATGTTCTGAGTATTTCCATATTAGCAAAAAAGAAAAAATTTTATTATTTTCCTTGAAATAGAAAAAAATAACAATAACATTTCCTTCCAGTTAAATTCATTATATTATATATATACAGTCCCTCTCAATAAATGAAGGACTGCTTAAGAATTAATATAATTAAATAGAAATAGTTGACATATATTAAATTTTTTATTTTATTAATAAAAATTACTTTTATGTATTAAGTAAACTTGTTTTTCATAATGAATTCTATATATGGTTAAAATCTTATTAAATTAGAACAAACTTTTATTATTATATTTAACAATTTTTTTATAAATAAATATTTTTAATTTTTTTGTTAAAATTTTGACACCTATACAATTTTTACAACTACTGTTTTAACAAGCAATTTAATTTTAATAAATTTTGTTCAGCATATATTAAAATATTTAAATATTAAGTTTCATAAATTTTATTTAATAAAATATACGATTTTTAAAAAATAATAAAAAATAAAAAATTATCATTATTTTTTTCCATAGATAAACATCAATTCTTTATTTATTCATATATTACAAAGTATGCATTTAAAAAGAATTAATATCTTTTGGATGCAAAGCATATAGCAAGTTAAATGCTAACCTATCTACTAATACTATAAATAGCTACTAATATTGAAAAGAAATTTTAAAACAATATTGTTGCTAAATATAGGCCAAGTAGCAGCTATACTTATTTATTTAAAAAAAAAATATTTAAAATATAAGAAAATTTTGAAAAAAATTTTTTGAAAAAAGAAAAAATAAAAGTAATTGAAACTAGAATAAAATTAAATAAACTATAAAATCTATAAGAAAAAAAATTATATTTCCAAGAGAATTCCTAGTTAGGCTCATTGTCCTATCTTTTTAGTCTTTGCTACTTGTAAGTATAATCTTTATTGACATGAATGATAAAGTATATGTGATTTGATTTGTCATTATAATAGAAGTTGTTGTTATATTGATATGATTGATGGTTAATAAAATAATTGATTTATAAATTGATAGTATTATTTTGTTTTGATTATATTAATAATTATATAGTATTTTGATTATACAAATTTGTTTTAGTATTTGGTAGTATTTGATTGGTTGAGTTTAAGATTATAATTAGTGAAAAATTTTTTAAGTGAAAATTTTTGGTTTTTTGTGATATAATATATTATGCTAAGCAATATTGAAAAATAAATATTATATATACTGTGGATACTTCAAGCCAATAATATAAATAATATTAATATATGATTTGATTTTTTGAGTTAAAGAACAATCCTTCAAAAACAAAAAATAGTTTTTTAATAAGAATTGTTTTTTAGTAAGAAGTATAAATGAAAAGAACTGCAAGAAAAATTTGTAGAAAAGTAATTGCCACAGGTCTTTTCTTATACAATTCAAAGAAAAAGCAAAGCCCTTAAACTTGTTTTTTCCTAGTTAGAGATCCTATCTCAATGTATCAGTATAATTTTCTAAGTTTCTTGAGATTTCTGTAATAAAAATAAAAAAAGTATAAATGACTTTTGGATATTAAAAGATAAAAATAAAAGTAACTGTGCTGTCCCCTTCCCTACTTGCCGCAGGTGTAGGCAACTGCCACAGGCCTGGTCAACCTATAATCTGCCGCAATCCTAGAAGGGTAGAGAAGGTCAAATACTAGGTGGTCGAATGAAAGGCTAATCTCCACGAGACGTCTGTGTCGGTGTAGCGGCCATTTAATTAGTTGAGCAGTTATCCAGAGGAAGTATAAGGTGAAACACATCTTGACTTGCTGTATATCAAGCCACATTTGGAAAGCAAGCTTGCCAATCCTAGTCATGACTTGGAGGCCAACCTGTATATAGTGGCTGTAGCACCTTCATATGATTAGGTCTCAAATTTTTCTAGGTAGCTAGATGCTATTCAAGGCATAATATAGGTTTTGAATTTCTTTTTCTTATATTCTTGAGTAGTGCTAAGGAGCTTAGGCGGAAGGGCCTTTATTGAGCCTGGTATTTAACTCTTCCTAGCAAAGAGATATGTATATTATACTATTAGGTTATAAATCTTGTAATTCGCAAGTCTAAAATTATAAATAAAAATAATGTGTGAAATAATGTGTGAGGACTGCCTGTTCCTTCAAAAAAATAAAATAAAATAAAAGTAACTGTTTCTTTAATTTTAAAAAAATTACTATAAAAGAGAATTTTTAAAAAAAATGTTATATATAGAAAAAAGTTTTTTTTTAATATTAAAAATTAATAATATTATTATTTTTAGATTTTCTCCAATAAGTAAACATTATTTCTTTATTCATTATCATATACTGAATATATATATATTAAGAAAGAAATAATATCTCTTGGGTGCATATTATATATAACAAGTTAAATGCTAGCTTGTTTACTTGATCACTATCTAACTAATATTGTAAAAAATTTCAAAAGCAATATTAAAATATCAAATAGTAAAGTAGCAGCTATGCTTACCTACTTAATAAAATTTTGTAAAATCTTTTGATTTTATGAATATAAAATAAATAAAAAGAAAATAACAATTGTAACTAAAACTAAAACTAAGTTGAATGAACTATAAAATTTATAAGCAGAAATCCAATTATTTCTCCAAAAAAGCTTCCAGATAGACATATGGTCCCATCTCTCCAGCTCTTTAGATGCTATAGATAAAAGAATACATATTGTTACACTTGATTTTCACCCAATATCTTCAATACCTCTTGTCCGATTTTCACTAGCATTGACCCTTGAAATGTTAGTTCTTCTAGAATAGTTTTGTATTACAGATCTGTTGCTATACCTTCGGCATCTATTGTATCTATTGCACATTTACCATTTCTAGAATATTTCTATTTTATTTTATTTTTACTTTCTGTATTATCTTTACCAAAGTGTTTATCTATATACATGCTATTATAGTTGAATATTCTGATGAAAATAGTATCTATATCTTAGCTTATATTTTTATCATAGCATATATTTATCATGTACAAAAATATTATAACTCAAACATGTATATAAAGGCTCCAATTTCACCTAGGAATTAGTAAGCTTGAATATATATTTTATCGAATAAATAACTTGACCTTTACAAAACAAATCACTATTGCCTCTTTTGCCTGATCTCATACACTTTAGAATTGTACTAATTTGTACACTTCTAGGAACTTTAGCACACCACATTGGCCCTGTCCATCTAAAGTGTCTTCCTGCTACTAGTTCTCTATCTTTATCTTTCTCCTGAGATAGAAATAATATATGATAACATGATTTTGTTTGTTATTGTAGTTGTAGTTGTTGTTGTTAAACTGAAAAACCAGTTTGAACAGGTTTAGTTTTTTCATTGTTTTTTTGACAAAATCTGATTGGATAATTGGAGAGTGATAATCATCTGAAGGGGGTAAATTGATTTCAGTTTTTTGAACAAAAAATTTTGGAAATTTTGAAATAATGCAGTAATTGTTGTTATGATAGAGTTGTATATAAAGGTTGTATTAAAACAAATAGTAAATTCAATAACTTTGTTTGAATATGTTTTTTGAAAAGTATTTGACTTAGCATATATAATGGTATTGATATAAATAGTTTTTATATTATAATAAGTGAAAGTAGAGATACAAGAGAACAAAATAAAAGAGAACTGCCACAGGTCTTTTCTCATGCAACCAAAGAATAAGCAAGACTTCCAAACTTGAATAGATTTTGACTAGAGGTCCCATTTCACTGCATTAGTTGTTTTGAAGATTCTTGAATTCCTGAGTTAGAACTCACTTGTAATTAAATAGTATAAAACATTTTTATTGACAAAAATTACCATAAAAGGAAAATTTTTAGCAATGTAAATATGATTAGAAGAGAGTTTTAGGTTTTATTATATTTAATATTAAAAATTATTATTATTTTTTTTTTTGATAAACATTAATTCTTTATTATATATATATATTAAGATATAACTTTGAAAAAGAATTCACATCTCTCATAATACATAAGTTAAATGCTAGTTTATTAAAATATCTATTTAAACTATATTAGAAAAGAAAATTTAAAACTAATATACTGTCCAGATAGTTGCATGAAAGACCATGCAATTTTTAGTGAAAGATGAGAAAAAAAAATAAAGAAAAAAGAAATTAGACACATATTAATACTAAGTAAACAACTTTTCATATTACAACTTCGGCTTACGCAGCTATGGGGACAAAGAGGGTTGATGTAAGTATGTATTTTCT